TCCCTCATACTATAATTACCGATTATAGAAAACTAAAATGAACAATGGCCTCAAAAGAAATCTTTTCGTGTAAACTGGTTAACTCTTTCAAATGTTTAAAAAAATTGGGGGGGGGGCATACAGACAGCATGATGTTCTCATAATCCTACACTTTTCCATCAATAAAAAATAAGGAGACATTTCCTTCATTTTATTTACTACAGCTCCAAGACGTCTCTTCACATCCATCACCGTAAATCTTCGCCACTATTCTGACAATTATTTTACAAACTGCCATACACCCACTGCTCTTCGGGGATTAAAGCATCAGAAGATAGAGGTTTGAGAGCAAGAAGTATCTCAACTCCATCAACACAATTTCAAAACAAATTATTTGAAGTACATTTTGTTTAGAAATATAAAGCATTTTACTCGTAATATCTGTGGACGCCGGTCATGGTAGCCGTGCGGTCTAAGGCATGTACTGTCTTCGCTCGCTTGGAAACCGGGATCGTGGGTTCGAATCCCACTCAGGGCATGGATGTTTAGTTTGTGTGTGTTCTTTTTTCTGTGTTTGTGTACAGGTAGAGGCCTTGGGCCGAGCTGGCCACCCGCCCAAGGAGTCCTACCGAACGCGTAAGATCTAGAAAAACGAAGTGAACGGAGAAGTTTATGGAGGTAGGCCTAGGCCCACTGGGGCTGTAGTGCCAAGGGGAAAAACATCTGTAGACAGTTTACTATGTAGTTCGGGTGGACACTGACAGGTGTTTAGAGCATGAATAAGTAAGAAGACAGAAATAAAGTGGATTTTTCTTGCCGAGATATAATTCTGACTACTATAAAATATCATGAAAAGCCTAAATTTACACATTATTAAAGCTTCAAGCAAGTTAAACTAATACAAAAAAGTATATTATAAAATGCGTTGGAGAGAAATAAGGTCGGCCATAGTGGCTTATAGTGACATGGTTCAGCTTTCAATTTGGTTCGGAAGATATTAATTCTAGCCTCAATTTCTTCACAACTAACTAGCTGTCTACCTACTAGCCAACTAGTGCCGAGGCCAAGAAAATTTTCGATCTATATTTCCACTCCCCCATACTCCTTCATGGCGTATTGCTTAGGTAGTTGAGCACAGGATCAGCTTTACCTTAAGTTTACCAACCAACATACTCCATGCAGCAGAGTCACTCTTGTAAAGATAAGAGTCGCTCAATTACTCAAGAAATTGCTAACATTTTACGGAACCCGAAAGTTCATTGTCGTATTCACAAGAGCCATCCGCTGGTACCTATGCTGAGCCACATCAATCCAGCCCACACAAATCAATCCTATTTCTCTAATATCCGTTTTATTATTACTCCCCCACCTATATCTGTCTATGTCCTTTTAGTGGTATTTTTCCTTTTAGATTACCCACCAAAATTCCGTACGTATTCCTCTTTCCCCTCGTGCTACAAGCTCTGTCCAACTACTTATTCTTGACTTTATCATTCTATTTATGTTTTGCGAAAATACAGATCATGAAGATCTTCTTTATGCTATTTCATTCCTGCTCTGTCTAAATATTCTCCTCAGCAACCTGTTCTCAGAAGCTTACAGTCTATGTTTCTATGTCGCATTAATGATTCAGAATGGGTTTACCGCTAGATATGTTACGCCCTCTTTCAAATTACTCACTNATTACCCACCAAAATTCCGTACGTATTCCTCTTTCCCCTCGTGCTACAAGCTCTGTCCAACTACTTATTCTTGACTTTATCATTCTATTTATGTTTTGCGAAAATACAGATCATGAAGATCTTCTTTATGCTATTTCATTCCTGCTCTGTCTAAATATTCTCCTCAGCAGCCTGTTCTCAGAAGCTTACAGTCTATGTTTCTATGCCGCATTAATGACAGAATGCGTTTACCGTTAATATGTTACGCCCTCTTTCAAATTAGTCACCGTGATGAGATGAAAATATATGGTCCAAACTGAGACTCACATGCCTAACATTCATCTTACGAGACAGTCACACGACGATCCCGCAGAAACCGGCAACTTCCCTGCGCCCATTTCAGATAATCCGTGTGTCGGACACACAACATCACAGCCAAGTCTTCCGGCTACAGTTCCCTATGAAGTTCGCTTCTCTCGATGGATGTTACATGCGCCTGGGTTGGTCACCCTGTTCATATTTAGTGAATTGCTGAAATTCCGAGGCTTCTTATAATGCATTTTTCTCCAGCATCCCGTTTACTCTTATCTACTAGATCCTAACATTCTCTTTAACACCGCCCCCTCAGATATCCAAATCCATTTTCTTCCGTTATGGGGGAGGAGGTTAATTTTCGCACCTATACAGAGAAAATGAGATTACTCGTAGAAACGAATTAAAACTGAATTCACCCTACACCTTCGGTTTAGTCTCCAAATACCAGTTTCAAAGTAACAAAGACNTTCCGAGGCTTCTTATAATGCATTTTTCTCCAGCATCCCGTTTACTGTTATCTGCTAGATCCAAACATTCTCTTTAACACCGCGCCCTCAGATATCCAAATCCATTTTCTTCCGTTATGGGGGAGGAGGTTAATTTTCGCACCTATACAGAGAAAAGGAGATTACTCGTAAAAAAGAATTAAAACTGAATAAACCCTACACCTTCGGTGTAGTCTCCAAATACCAGTTTCAAAGTAACAGAGATAAAATTTGTGTATAGACGGACGAACAAAACCTGCCCATTACGCATTCATATTATTTTCGTCTTACAATGAAAGCATACGAATTGCGGAGTGCGAAGTACGTATGTAAATATAAGCAACCTGTATCATTTCACAAGCAATTAAAAGTTTTACAAAGAGTTTCATGGTAACCTTTTTTTTTAAGTCGCCTAAAACAAAAAATATGTAGGCTATTTGCAGGTTTTATTTTGTGTCTCTTCTTCATACAAGTAAATATTTTGCAAAAGTTTTTAAATGCAGGTAGGCTTTCATATAAATATATTATTATCCAATTTTAACCGAAAACTTAATTTAAGAGTTCTGTGTTCTACTCGTAGCATGTAATGCCCTGCACTCCGTTCAAATACAACAGACGCTTCGGAGAAACATATCGCTCCCTTCTTCACGGTAGAAGAAGTCAAGCATGTAACAGGCAGCAAGAAGAGCATCTCTTTGCTCTCTTTTCCATACCGGTTTCTTGCTTGGCTTATTCCTCGGCCCTGAAGAAGGAAAATTATTCCTCCGAAACGTCGGCTCATTTTCAACTGAATATAGAGTCTTATATTACAGAAGATAGGTTGTTCTTGGCCACCGGTGTGAGAACCTCAAATTCTAAGAACGACTGCACAATGTCTAACCTCAATCATCGTACTGCGGAAGTTCTTTAACTGAATCACGCAGACAAACGAGCATGATCACACCTGTCTAGTTCGTGGCGTCTATACTTAGCACAAATTACGCCAAAGAATCGCCTGTATCTCATTAAGATCCAAATTTTCAAGTAGAAAAATTCGATGTGTGGTACTTATTTAGCAAAATGGTTAGAAAAATAAATTATCTACGCTAGAAATGGCCGTGGCATACCCCAGAAAGTTAGACGTTGCCTTGAAGGCCGCGCCATAGCTCAAGCAGTTAGTCACTGGCTTCCCACCGCGGCCGCCCGGGTTCGATCCCGCGTCTGGTCAACTGGGATTTGTGGTGGACAAAGTGGCGCTGGGGCAGGTTTCCTCAGAGTACTTCGATTTCCCCTGCCAATCTTCATTCCACCCATATCGACAGATGGGGCGAAAGGTGCCTGTTGTGTGGCCTCCGTGATCACCAGTTCTCACTCCTGCTGGCTTATACTTGGGATCAGCTAAGGACCATCGCTTAGACCCAGCGATATAACACGCAGCAGGAGCTGTGGAATGCCAGTGAACCGGTTGGAACGACAATAGGCAACATGCCTAACGTCTTTCAGTGGAGCAGGCAATCACTGGCGCAACAGGCCTCAGTTATGCATTGACTGAAATTGTGGGTCGTTTCAACATCTTCCCTTAACCATCAGCAAGTACCCAAATTCCTTTCAGATCACGGCTATATCTATAAGTACGCTGCTTCTCAAGTCTCCTTTCTTCGCGCTTCCTGCTGCTATATATCAATACAAAGAGGTTGCGGCCATGCACTTATATGACAGGTTATAGTTGCCTATCGGTGCAGAACACGGTGCTTATATGTAAGGTAGGTAATTAAGACACTCCCTGTATATCGGCGACATACTGTCATTTACCACTTCAACCTGATCATGTAGATGGAGATCTTCGAAACACTGGGTTTTAGCTCGAGACTGGCACGACTGATCGCCAGAGATTTTTGTATACGTATTCGCAGCCGGTGATGGAGTTGCACTAACACATCCGCCTTTAGAAGGGTGTAAATAAATTGAGTTGGTGGTCGGTCCAACAGTACTTTCCATCACAGTAATTTTTTTTAATTCGCGTAGTTGGGGGTGGAGTCCAACTGGGTCCACTCGGCACGGCGGCCACTGATTGGCCTATTGTAGCCTGCCCCGTGATTATTATGATGGATAATTTGGTGGAATGAAGATTTGCAGGGGAAACCGAAGTACTTGGATAAAAGCCGCCCCAGCGCCACTCTGTCCACCACAAATCCCACTTGACCAGTCCCGGGATCGAACCCGGCCCGCCGCGGTAGGAAGCCAGCGACTAACCGCTTGAGCTATGGCACGGCCTCTCCATCACAGTAAGCAACGAGTTTACACATTTCATGAAATTTCTTTGTCTGGCAGCTCGTAAGTAAATTTAACGATCGAATATTCGTAACAATCTGAAACTGATTACGAGATGATAATAATAAAAATATTAGTTTACTGGTGAAAATGCATATCATGGTATACACCCTAAGAAATTATGGCGGGGGGTGACTTTTCTTTTCGTAGTCTTTATCTCCTCGCCTTACATCCTGACAGGAGGATAAGTACATCAATCTGCACTTGTAACAACACAAGATAACATGCATTTAATGGCTTCAGTACTTACATGGGATAATGATGATGATGGATGACACTAACAGAGACAACAATATCCATTGCAGCGCGTCGATTGATGAGAATGGGCCCCGTTTCATGACGTCATACCACGCACCGCTTTCAGGTTAGTTGGTTCTATGTTAACCAGTCAACATCATTCTCTGAATGTAGCACACGCGTTTGAAACTGTAGTTACTGTACACGAGATGCAAGTATTTTAGTCACTAACAACGGTTTAAAACTCTTCTCAGTAGGTGAGGAACACTTCAATTAATAGGCATGTTGTTATTACACAGTTCCTGAATACGGCTGGGCAGGTGTCCAGAGTCACTTGTTTCGGGATATAAAACTGAGAACTGTGCTGATAGTGTAGCCGGCACAGTAACTACGGAACTTCACTATCTGCGTGCCAATTTATTACAAAACTATATATGTGCTACCGGTAATGCATGCAGAAAATCAACACCGAACGTTCCAATACATATATATGTTATTCTTCTAATTCCAGCTCGTTCCGAATATTAGTATGTAATTTAACTGAACTTTCGAAAACTGGTTTCCAATTTGATGTCACTTTTCATTTCTCCCTAGATGAATGCCCATAATTGTCAGTAGTTTACCAATATTTGTATATTTCCCCTACCACAGTACCTACAGTCTAATACGATTATATATATTTATTAGATTTCTATAACCTTACTATTGCCAGAAATTCAACAGCCGTATGTATGGGTTATAAGACACTAGCAAAATATAGTGACTAATCTTTTTATTATCTATTGTATGCTATTATTGTTTTGAATAATTTTAATTTAGTTCTCGTCCTGATTCATTTACACAACAATTTTATTTATTTCGAAGAATTATTATTGTTAACATATAAATATACAAATAGAATTTGGCTCAATATTGTGTGCTGTGTATAAATAAAATCCCACTATTAAATTAAAATTTGTGATCGAAATTGCTGGATTCTGTTAATCGCCTTTAATAAAATAATTCATAGGTTAAATAGATTCGTATGTTCATGCAGTTAACGTCGGAAATTATTTAACACTTATATCTCTAGTTGCTGAAAACCTGTGCCAAATAATTTATATTAACAATTTTCTTGTGTAACGTCTAGAACATAAGATAATATACACCAATTTTATTTTCTAATGTTTGAATATTCTGTCAATAAAATTTCGTCATTCCACAGAAAATGATCTGAAATATACTTTGACAGGTCTAGGTCTAATTCATTAACACGCATTACTAGATCGACCTGCAAGTTCAAACTGTTCACCGAAATGTTCGAAGTACGAACGGAGTGCCCTATTTAACCGTTTTCTTGACCCAAGTTTACATCTGTCTTCACGTATCACTTTTTAACAATTTATCTCGCTTACAAAAAAGGTTTCTGTGTTTCAGCTGTGGTAATGTTCATATATGGACCAAAAATTGGAACCGTTAATGCACAGACGCTTTGCACTAATGTTCTCTTACAGCAAAGGACAGGTTGTAGGTCGTGAGAAATTTTTGCCTGCCGTCCCCACACATAGCAGTACTCATGGCAAGAATAAAGGCGCCACTTCTTCCTGCTCTAACAAGTGTCACTCTGCTGTAAAGCTTGTTCCTATTCACTGCATCACTTACACACCATGCTAAAGAAATTTGACACCTCTAACCTTGTCACTGTTTACAACAAACTGTATTCATTAAATCTGTTCAGCTAAGACAATTCGTCAGTCGAATTGGGCAATGTTACCGACTAATTTCTTGCAATTTCAGAAAAAAATATGAGTCTTAAAAATTCCGATTCTGTAATTGTTGTGCTACACACGTAAGACAAACAAGTTCTAACGAGGGAACAAAACAGACACTCATAACTTTAATACGGTTTATATTTGCCTTTCATTTTCAATTATTCCCATTTGATCGTACGTTTATACGATTTACTTTCAATCAAATTACTTTTCTGCACTAAGCTTCATATAGGTTACAATATTACGCTCCTGAATAAGAAAATGTTTCCATGCGCTACAACTTAACAACTATAAACACCATGCCTGTGTTGCGACGACACTGAAAATGGACCTTCACTTAGGAAACTTCGATACCGTGATAGCGTACCCTGTTGCACACCACCGACATTTTGTGAAAATGTATCAGATCTAGACTTGAAGACGCTTCATGGAACACGATATAACAAAAAAAGAGTTCTCTTCGGTTTAGACACGCGAATCTCTTGGGTTAGCGCAGAGATGGTCAGGTTATATAGCAGTTAATTCGATTACAGGAAGAGGCACACACAAACACAAATCTTCACAAACAGTACAGTTAACATCTACACGACAAAATATTTCAGCAACATGAAATTTTGTCTTTTTTAATTAAGCTGACTGTAATCCCTTTCCACACACCAAGACTTTCTTCTGTTATTTGCGTCTTTATAAGAAGAAACAAACTTCTGTTGTGTTCTGTCACGCACTGTCCGCCGTGACGAGCTGATGACAAGATGAGTCACGCGCAACCTCCCGCTTCTACGTCTCCGATCGGACTGCCGGGCCCGCGCAGTGGACTACACTCGCAACTACAGACCGGTTTAGTTCTCATCTATATATATAGGCATTAAAATGGTGGGGGCGAAGAAGAGTAAGGAAACAGGCAACGACTTCGCAACCCCCTGCTCCGCCGCCACCCTCACCGGATAGTAGAGTCCTGTTCAGTGGCATCTCCCCCAGCTGTCACTCCCTTCACCCTGTTCCATAGAGTCACATGAGCTCCACCATTTTCTCTCTCGCTGCAACTCCATATAACAAACAAGCACCCAAAGCCACCTTCATGAGTTAATTCTCCCATTGAAAACATCAAGCTAGTTTTCTTCTTCTTTTTTATTAAGAGATATTATGCCGACCCCGTGTTTCAGCGCAATCAACAAGGAAGTGAAACGTTTCACAGTCTGTTCACAGATAAATCAACAGTGTCTGCTGAATTCACAGTTTTCTTTCTCGATTCAGTACAACTGCCTTCGGCATTAATAGCTTTCCAAAATACCCTTCATCTTTCATAGGTCTGCTAATAAACAGAAAATGCAGTGTATTTAGAGCTGAGAATCTGTGGACTGTTCTCTCCGAGGATCTGACGCTTTGTTGTATAGAAGTTAATCGACGTGTAGATCAGTTGGTACAGTAACTTGGCTAAGGGCTGGGTGGAGGAGGATGCGGGGTTCGATTCCCAGCAAAGGTACGAGATTCTTCTCTTATCCATAGCGTCCAGAAAGACTCTGGGGCCTATCCACCTCCTGTATAACAAGTGCAGTGATGTAGGCAGCAGTTTTGTGAAGCTGACTACACACCTCCATCTAGTGCCAAGATTAAGGACGGCGGTGTTTTATGTGTTTCTACTGCTCCATATGTCTTCATGGCGTGTTGCTTATTTAATTAATTATTTTACCTGGGACGTATCTACCGCTTCCACTTTCATCGTCAAAAAGTAAGCAAGCAGAACTCCTGAACATCCGTAAGCTTCTACAAGACTACATGACGTAATGCGCTAACAGAGGGTTCTCTCCAATAAAGGTAACTGTACGTCCCTGTACATAACTAATTATGCACTACGTCATGAAGGCGTAAAGGGGAAGTGGATGTATAGATCCACTTCTTCTTGGCCTCGGCATTAGCTGGAGAGTGGTCAGCTTCATGCCCAGCCTGCTTTAACCCTGGGGAAAAAGCCCCCGGTACAATTTGTATACGAGGTAGGGTGGACGACGTGGAGAAGAGAAAAATCTTGACAATATGGGGACCCGACCTCCGAACCCTCGGTCGTCAAGCCCGTAAGCTATACACGTATGTGCATATAAAAGGATTAAATATTTAAAATAATTCTGACACTAGAAAATAATATAATTTTGTGTGTACAAGAAGTGTTCGCGTCCCCTTTCACGATTATGAATTACTTAAAATAGTAGAGATTTCAAGATCTTTAATATTTATGAGGCAAAGCTGTGCAAGTTGCCTACCGATGTGTTTTTCAGAGTAACCTTCCATTAGTTTATCTTTCCATACTGTGAGCAGTCACATTTTCAAAGCATTGTAACCGAATGTAGCTCCCGAATTGGTTATGCCTTTTGTGGCTTAGGGCTGTACTTCGAATGTTGAAGCACCTGTGCTCTGAAAAATTCTAAAATGACATAAAATGACTTATATTCTAACAAAATTTATTTAAAATAAATTAAAGGGCCGAAATTCCGTTAACAACATGGTGAGTAGAGACTCTTTGTAACCATAATCATTATGGCAATTGATTTTTAAACTTCTAGCCCTCAAAATGAATTATTGAATTGCCCGATGCTTGGGATTTTCCGTGGTTTTTCTAAACCACTCCAGACTCATGACAGAGTACGGTTGCTATCGTTTCTCACCAACGAGTACAAAAAGGATTCAGGCATTTTAATGGTTTCAGCGAAGCTGTCTATTTTTTAAAGTACACTCATACCAAGTCCACGCTGTATTCCCTATGTTCTTGTAACTTCTTTCCCCTCCCACTCCACACACACGCATGCGCAGGAGAGTAGATATTTTCTCCTTCTTCAGTCTTAACTAAATGAATTCAAGGAGCCTCTATTTAAAAGGGTTTGAACTGTGGTAATTTTCAATGCCTATTATATACATTGCTCTTTGCAACTTGTCAATCCCATCAGAGCTAGTTCAGTATGATACTCTCACCCATACATTTCCACCCCAACATTTTCTCTGCGTGTGTAACTCTTCGCCTATCCCTCTGTGTGAAATGTTCCTCGAATCGTGTGTTCCCTCTCTTTCACACACACACACACACACATTCTCGTACAATCATGCAGACTTTGCCAGGATATGCTAAGGTATACGAATATAAGAACAAACAGAATTTGCTCTCAGTGTTGGACTGGCTTCGAGAACAGGAAATCAAGTATGGGTGTTCATTTCCTGGGTAACCGCCTGTGACTGAAGAAATATTCTGTCGCCGGATTGGACAGACAAAGACGGAGTGGGCTGCTACCCAAGGAGACAAGAAGAATATGCTGAGACATCTTCTGCAAGTTAATAAGAAAAGAAATAGAGACGCCGATCCCTTGGTGATTTAATATCTTACGTTTCGAAACGTGACAATGCTGCAGTTTTTTTCCTTAAGAAAACGACTTCGATGGTTTCTGCTCCAATAGTTATTTTGTATCATAACATTACAGACGTCAATATAAAATGTACTGCATGTGCCTAGAGTAGCAAAATTATAATTAATTAATATACATTATATTTCATCAACAACTGAAGAGTTACACCTGCTAAGTAATGATCAAAATGAAACATATATAAAATGGATTATAATGTGGCATATTCGCTCAAAGCAAGAACTGTAGTCACAACAGTCTGTCGTCACCAAGCAGCGGCCCGTAAATAACAGACGAATGGTGTTTTCTGGGCAGTCCATGCAGAGGGTTGCGACCGCAACAATAGAACACGTCATACAATCGCTAAGCAACAATCGCACTGTAACAGAGTAACGGCGTTTTCTGTGCGGTCCGTGTAGGGGCTGTAAAATGAGTTCAGTCTTGAAGGACAGTGAGGTAATACCTGGGGTTCAGTCTTTATGAGCTGTTGCTGTGAGAACCTGATAGCCGAGGCCGGGGAAAATTCCGGAAACCAGAAGAAGAAGAAGAACGTCGACCTTTGAGAGTAGCTACCGAGCAACAGCTACTGAAGACTTTAAAGACCTACAAGACCTAGTATGTCCTATAAAGATTTGTGAGATGTGTAGAATAGTAACAGCGTAATACTTGTAGTTACGAGTTGTGGGAGCTCAGTAAATCCAATTACCAGTCCAAACCGCGTCTATAGTCACTATACTCGTGACAATATTAAAAAGTTCAGTGAGTAAAAGCATGTTAAAAACCATCATATACCGTCAGAATTGTTGTCTCATTTCTGTGTTATTTCGTGGTGTAAACGATTATTCGATAGGTGATTTAGAAGGCGGTGACTCATGGATATTCATATACTTTCTGACACATAATTCTTTGTGGCTTCCTTTTTTGCTTTCTTCACTAACTTATCTGATAATTTTTTGAATCCCTTATGTATAAAATTTAGGAAACCTACTTTTCTTAGCTGAAATAAATCAGAATGCCCACTGCATGTTTCATATGTTCGTTCAGTTCTTAGTTTTCGAAAATGATTCGATCATGTAGTATCGTGAAGAAATTGAGAATCACATCAATTTACTAAAGAAGTCCTTTCCGCAACCACAAACCCGTGTCTTCATGAGAAAGGCCTGACTCTTTAAAGAAGAGTGTATATGTTTTATTAATACCACGGACAGTACAAAAGGACTCCTTTTTCTTCTTTTGCCGTGTTTCATTCTCCAGGCTCTGACATCATAGTCATCTACTCTTCCGCTTAACGAATAGCTACTTAGGTCCTCCCTGTCTTCATTTTTAATAGCTAATGCAGTAGTACCTCGACATTTCTGAACAGTATTATTCCCGCTGCTGTAATTCTCCTGACACAGCTTCTTCTTAACCGATGTTTATTTTTCACACACAACTAAAACTGCCTCTCCTTTTATGTCATTTTACATCTTCTCTTTCATAATTTCTTGACGAAAAATTCAGATAAAAATTAACATACGCAAACTGATGAATGCCAAATGCCATTACTCATAATAGGTCTAGAATTCCGCGCCAAAGTTCAAGCGGTTAGTTGCTGGCTTCCCACCGCGGCTGTCCGAGTTCAAACCCGGGTCTGGTCAAGTAGGATTTGTAGTGGACAAAGTGGCGCTGGGGCAGGTTTTCTTCGAGTACTTAGGTTTCCCCTGCTAATCTTCATTCCACCAAATTCTCCATCATCATAATCACCCTAGGAAGGTATAATAGGCTAATCAGTGACCGCCGTGCCGAGTGGACAGAACTTGACTCCACGCCCCACTATGGGAATTAAAAAAAAATAATATGTCTAAAAGGTACAAGTAGATTGGAAAATCTCAAACAATATTAGTATCTGCGTAGAAGAGTAACAAACGGAAATTAGATCACTAGTGAAATTAGAAGGGTAATAAATACAGTAAATGGCTAACATTATTGGTTTTAAAACTGCTGGCATCTCATTTATTACCCAAAACACTAAAACTCAAGGTGTAATACTACTGTTAAGAAGGAATAAAATTAAAAGTCGTTTGCATCAAAGTGACCAGTAACACGTTTGCACAAAATGTCAATATAGTTATCTGGATATAACATGATGAATAACTCCGCTGTTTATACAAATCAGCCAGTGATTAAGGCAGTGATATCAAGGGAGTTATGAGAGCATGGGAGTTAAATTAGAAGGAGAAAGACAAGAAATAAGTACAGAATGTTAATGGAAAACCTTCTTTAAAAGAGACTTCGAAGGCCAAGATGGGCACTGGATAGTATCATTGACGTCTACTTAAAGAAACACAGAGTGATGATGGGGAGGGGAAAGAGTTGGTTCAGGATCATGCCATTATCACAGCGGAGATGCTGT